ATGCGCAAGATACCGTCCCTGCGCCCACGTTACCGTGGTGGACCTTGTCTGAGTGGACGGTCGAAATGTCGTCGTGGTATGCGATCCTAACGTGAAACCGCTTGTTACTGTGATTACCTTCGCATCTTTCTTAAAGTTTAGGAGCCTCATATTTTACTGTTCTTGTTAGTTGCAGGGGCACAATGACGGCGATTTTCACTCATGACGACTTACGCGGCATAATCACAAGCTATTCCAGTCACGCCAGGAGGTGGGCTTTTGAATGAGCTTCTTTAGGGTCGTGTACAGAATTATACGGGGAGAATTAATTACTTACGCTGTGGACTTTTTTCGCCTGATTTTCGATGCCCCTATGAAAATGAATATGCTTTATCGCAAATGTGCTCAAAAATATCTTTGTACAGATGTACGGGTCTGCGCACGTATACTCGGCTTCCTGAATGTAAGCAAGCTTTCAATTGACGTGTCTCACTTTCACTTCCTTTTTATGGGCGATCATCGCTACCACTGAAACTTAACTATGCTTGTCGACCTGGCTTCTACGAACTAAAGCCCTACGATCACTCGTCACTGATCTCTCGCACCCTTAAAACAACGGTAGCCAACACGTAGTTATCCTCATCCTCTCGCTTCTAGTGAATCTCAACCGGAGCTTTTCTCCTCGACGTCATTGCCATGCCAGTACCTATCCCATCGTTCTGGAGAGTTGTTTTAACCACAGTGGATATAGATGAATTAGCCAGTTGTTTACACATCATTTCAAGTGGTCTCTATAGCACCGTTTTCGAAGGTGGGAGTCATCCTTATTGCAGTCTCCTAAATGTAATTGGGATCAGATCGTGTGTGGCACGCGTAGACGGGGTGTTTAACTCATTCCCAACGCCTTTAAGCTTGACGTTATCTTGTCACGGTCGGGGTATGATAAATGAAGGAAGAAAAAAAATGCAGTAGCTGTTTCGCACTTCCCTCGTGAGGTACATACTTTGAGGCACGCGGTTGACGTCTCTTGTAACGGTTGAATTGTGCTATTGACATGCCAAGGTGGAAGAAGGGCGGACTAACCTGACGATTTTCTGTTGAATTACCCTCCAGACTAAGCAATCTATAGACCCACGTTAAAAGGTAATAGCTAAAAGAATATCCCGAATTTTTTGACAAACGGTGTCCATAATTGCAGTAGAGGTATGTATACTAAACTATATAAATTACTGAATTATGCTTATCACTTCGATTTTTTGAAATTTGAAGCCTTTATGCGTGCTCTTTATTTCGCCTATGGGTGAATTTGATGTCCTCAGCACGCTAATTTCGTTTAACTAAAGAAAACTTTACGATATACCTGTTTCTTCTGCCGGTTCGTTAATGCCCACGCTGTTTCCTTTCGCCTCCTCTGACATCTAGGCATTCCTTCAGCTGAGTTCCATGGTTTTTAACCAGAAACGAGCGCAGAGGACCCAAAAGGCCAATCCGCCCAATGGAAAACCCCACCGGAAGAAGATCCGTTGTGATATTCTGTAAAGTCCCCCATCCATCCCGCCGTACCCCCAGCTCCTATTTCCACAAATACTGCACACTCACGCACGCATGTACTGCGATCCTCTTCGTATCTTAAGTTTGTCAGATGAAATTGTTTTCTTTTTTCTTTCTGTCTCCGTCTAATTTCGTACCTAACCGTCCTCTCTCCTCTCCACTCGTACCGCCTTTCCAACTGTCCTATTTCTAGGCAGTCCGAGGCCTTCTCTTCCTTCTTCTGTTCTCCCCCACTTTTCGCCAAAACAACGCACTGACCAATGCGCCTTTGTTGTCGGTCTAAATCTTAATCCTCTTTTTATTCTGCATATTCCTCCTCGCCTTCCCCTCCAATCCACTGTCCTCCCTTCCCTCCTCTCCTCTTTTCAATTCTGTTTCCATCTCGCCTGTTGAATCAACAGTCGAAGGTTCTTTTCGTTTCATGCGTTCCCTGTCCTCATTATCGTCATCCATGTGATGGCACCGTCTTAAAGCAAGCGTCTTACTCCTGAATCCTCTGCCTTTTAGTGGGGGTAGAGAGAGTGTGTCTGTGTGGATGCACAAATATTATCCTTGCTTTTTTAGCGATTTCATCAGCTCTTCACAGCTCAGCGGTTCATTCCATGCCTTCTTTCCCCTCCTTCCCTCAGTATCGAAATGTTCCCACAAAAAAGTCCTCCTCCGTGTGCGTG